CATTGCCCCCATTGCCCCACAGTGCCCCCATTGCCCCCATTGTCCCCAATGCCCCCATTGCCCCCCCTTGCCCCCATTGTCCCCATTGCCCCCATTGTCCCCATTGCCCCCATCCCCGGGGCCCCTCTGCGTCCCCGGTGCCCCCCATAGCTCCCATGCCCGCACCCCACTGCCCACAACGCCCTCCCCATCCCATGGCCCCCATTACCCATTGCCCCCGGTTCCTCCCGTACCCGGTGCCCCCCATATCCCGTGTCCCCCATAGCGAGTGGCCCCCATATCCCCCATAGCGAGTGCTCCCTATGTCCCCCATAGCGAGGGCCCCCCATATCCCATGTTCCCCATAGCGAGTGCCCCCCATATCCCCCATAGCGAGGGCCCCCCATATCCCATGTCCCCCATAGCGAGGGCCCCCCTATCCCCACTGTCCCCCATAGCGGGTGACCCCCATATCCCGTGCGCCCCATAGCGGCTGCCCCCCATATCCCCCACATCCTGTGCGCCCTATAGTGGGTGCCCCCCATATCCCCCACATCCCGTGCCCCCCATAGCGGCTGCCCCCCTATCCCCACTGTCCGCCATAGCGCGTGCCCCCATATCCCGTGTGCCCCATAGCGAGTGCTCCCCATGTCCCCCATAGCGAGTGCCCCCCGTGCCCCCCATAGCGGCTGTCCCCCACATCCCGTGCCCCCCACATCCCGTGCCCCCCACATCCCGTGCCCCCCACATCCCGTGCCCCCCATGTCCCGCATCCCCCAAAGCGGGTGCCCCCCATATCCCCCACATCCTGTGCGCCCTATAGCGGGTGCCCCCCATATCCCCCACATCCTGTGCGCCCTATAGCGGGTGCCCCCCATATCCCCCACATCCCGTGCCCCCCACAGCGGCTGCCCCCCTATCCCCACTGTCCGCCATAGCGCGTGCCCCCATATCCCGTGTGCCCCATAGCGAGTGCTCCCCATGTCCCCCATAGGGAGTGCCCCCCGTGCCCCCCATAGCGGCTGCCCCCCATCCCCACTGTCCCACATAGCGGGTGCCCCCATATCCCGTGTGCCCCATAGCGGGTACCCCCGTGCCCCCCATCCCCACTCCCCCCATGTCTCTGGAGCCCCCCCGTTCCCGTTCCCGTCCCTACCCTCAAGGCCCGGACAACCGCGGGCGCCGCCATCTTGACCCTGGGCAGCGGCGGCGTCAGCGCCCCCTGGCGGCTGGAGGCCGCGGAGGAGGAGTCCGGAGGCGCTGGGGGGGGGCAGTGGGGGGGGGTCCCCTTGGGCTCCCCCGTTGGCTGTGGGGGGACCCCGCCCCCCCCGGCTGGGTGCGGTGGGGATGGGGGGGGGGGGAGGGGATGGGGGGGATGGGGGGGGGATGGGGGGGATGGGGGGGATGGGGGGGGGGGTGGGGGGGATGGGGGGGGGGGCCCTTCCCGCTGGCACCGGAGCCACCCCCGGGGACATGAATGGGGACAGAGGGAAGTGGGGGGGTAGGGGAGCGGGGGGGAGTGTATGGGATATGGGGTGTGGGATGTGGGGTGTGGGGTGTGGGGTGTGGGATATGGGGTGTGGGGTGTGTCCCATGGCACACACAGACAACGGGGGCACGGGGGGCAATGGGGACAATGGGGAAAATGGGGGCAATGGAGACAGTGGGGGGAACGGGGCAATGGGGTCAATGGGGGGCAATGGGGACAACGGGGGCAATGGGGACAGTGGGGGGATGGGGACAATGGGGGCAATGGGGACAATGGGGGTGATGGGGACAATGGGGGCAGTGGGGACAATGGGGGCAATGGGGACAATGGGGACAATGGGGGGCAGTGGGGGGAAGTGGGGGCAATGGGGCCAATGGGGGCAATGGGGGCAATGGGGGCAGTGGAGGCAGTGGGGGCAATGGGGACAATAGGGCAATGGGGGCAATGAGGGGCAATGGGGCAAGGGGGGGCAATGGGGGGCAGTGGGGGCAATGGGGAAAATGGGGGGCAATGGGGGCAGTGGGGGCCAATGGGGGCAATGGGGGGCAGTGGGAGGCAGTGGGGGGCAATGGGGGGCAATGGGGGCAATGGAGGGCAATGGAGGGCAATGGGGGGCAGTGGGGGCAATGGGGGCCAATGGGGGCAATGGGGGGCAGTGGGAGGCAGTGGGGGGCAATGGGGGGCAATGGGGGCAATGGGGGCAATGGGGGGCAGTGGGGGCAATGGGGGCAATGGGGGGCAATGGGGGCAATGGGGGCAATGGGGGCAGTGGGGGCAATGGAGGGCAATGGGGGGCAGTGGGGGCAATGGGGACAATGGGGCAATGGGGCAATGGGGTCAATGGGGGCACTGGGGGCAATGAGGACAATGGGGGGCAATGGGGAAAATGGGGACAATGGGGGCAATGGGGGTAATGGGGGGCAGTGGGGGGCAATGGGGCAATGGGGGCACTGGGCGCAATGGGGGGCAATGGGGACAATGGGGGGCAATGGGGGAAAATGGGGACAATGGGGCAATGGAGGGCAATGGGGGGCAGTGGGGGGCAATGGGGCAATGGGGGCAATGGGGGGCAGTGGGAGGCAATGAGGGCAATGGGGGCAATGGGGGCAATGGGGACAGTGGGGGCAATGGGGGTAATGGGGGGCAATGGGGGGTAATGGGGGGCAATGGGGCGAGGGGGGGAATGGGGGCAATGGGGGTAATGGGGGCAATGGGGACAACGGGGGCAATGGGGACAGTGGGGGGAACGGGGGGCAATGGGGACAATAGGGAAAATGGGGGCAATGGAGACAGTGGGGGCAATGGGGACAATGGGGGGCAATGGGGAAAATGGGGACAATGGGGGCAATGGGGGTAATGGGGGCAATGGAGGTCAACGGGGGGCAGTGGGAGGCAGTGGGGTGCAATGGGGACAATGGAGGGCAATGGGGGCAATGGGGGGCAGTGGGGGCAATGGGGCAGTGGGGGCACTGGGGTGCAATGGGGGGCAATGGGGGCAATGGGGCAATGGGGGCAATGGGGGCCAGTGGGGGCAATGGGGGCAATGGGGGCAATGGGGAAATGGGGGCCAGTGGGGGCAATGGGGCAATGGGGGCAATGGGGGGCAGTGGAAGCAATGGGGGGCAGTGGGGGTTGGGTGCGGCCCCTCCCCCCGTGACCCTTTGCGCCCCCCCCGCCCGGCCCCGCCGCGCCCCTGCACGAGAGCCCTCGAGTGGGGGCGGGGCCCTGCCGGGAACGGGAGGGGACGGGGAGGGGGAGGGGGAGGGGGGCACCCATGGGTGCTGGGGGGGGAGGGGTGCGGGGGAACGGGGGGGGGCGTGGAGGAAGTGGGGGGATGGGGGGGGAATGGGGCCATGGCCGGGGGGGAGACGCGGGGGAGGGAGGGAGGGGGGGTGGGGCCGTGGGGTCCCGGTGCCCGCAGCCCCCCCAGCTCCTCCCCCCCTCTGCACCCCGGCACCGGCGCCCTCAGGACCCCCAACGTGACCCCGTGACCCCTCATTGCCCCCCAGGACCCCCTATCGCCATGGCCCCATAGCCCCATAGCCCCGTAGCCCCATAGCCCCGTAGCCCCGTAGCCCCATAGCTCCATAGCCCCATAGCCCCATAGCCCCATAGTCCCATAGCCCCATAGCCCCATAGCCCCGTAGCCCCGTAGCCCCATAGCCCCATAGCCCCGTAGCCCCGTAGCCCCATAGCTCCATAGCCCCATAGCCCCATAGCCCCATAGCCCCATAGCCCCATAGCCCCATAGCCCCGTAGCCCCATAGCCCCATAGCCCCGTAGCCCCGTAGCCCCATAGCCCTGTAGCCCCATAGCTCCATAGCTCCATAGCCCCATAGCCCCGTAGCCCCATAGCCCCGTAGCCCTGTAGCCCCATAGCCCCATAGCCCCATAGCCCCATAGCCCCGTAGCCCCATAGCCCCGTAGCCCTGTAGCCCCATAGCCCTGTAGCCCCATAGCTCCATAGCTCCATAGCCCCATAGCCCCATAGCCCCGTAGCCCTGTAGCCCCATAGCTCCATAGCCCCATAGCCCCATAGCCCCATAGCTCCATAGCCCCGTAGCCCCATAGCCCCGTAGCCCTGTAGCCCCATAGCTCCATAGCCCCATAGCCCCATAGCCCCACAGTTCCATAGCCCCATAGCCCCATAGCCCCGTAGCCCCATAGCCCCGTAGCCCTGTAGCCCCATAGCTCCATAGCCCCATAGCCCCATAGCCCCATAGCCCCGTAGCCCCATAGCCCCATAGCCCTGTAGCCCCATAGCTCCATAGCCCCATAGCCCCATAGCTCCATAGCCCCATAGCCCCGTAGACCCGTAGCCCCATAGCCCCATAGCCCCGTAGCCCCATAGCCACATAGCCCTGTAGCCCCATAGCCACATAGCCCTGTAGCCCCATAGCTCCATAGCCCAATAGCCCCATAGCCCCATAGCCCCGTAGCCCCATAGCTCCATAGCCCCGTAGCGCCATAGCCCCATAGCCCCATAGCCCCATAGCCCCATAGCCCCGTAGCCCCATACCTTCATGTCCCCCTATTCCCAAATCCCCATGTCCCCATACCCTATATCCGCCTATGCCCCTATCCCCATATCCCCAACCCCATGTCCCATATCCCCACATCCCCCCTATCCCCATATCCCTCTATCCCCATGTCCTATATCCCCCTATTCCCATACCCCCACATCCCCCTATCCTCATATCCCTTATCCCAATGTCCCTACATCCCCCTATCCCCATGTCCCATACCCCCATACCCCCCTATCCTCCTATCCCCATATCCCCCCTATTCCCACATACCCACATCCCCCCTATCCCCATATCCCCCTATCCCCATGTCCCCATATCCCTCTATCCCTATGTCACCATATCCCCATATTCCCCCATCCCCACATCCCCCTATCCCCATGTCCCCATACCCCCATATCCCCCTATCCCCCTTATCCTATCCCCATCCCCCCGCCCCCCTCCCCCCCCCCCCCCCCCCGCTGCCCTCCTCCCTATAAGAGGCGGCGGTTCCCGGCTCGGGCACGGCCATGGGGCGAGCACCGGCCCCGGCACCGGCGCTGCTGGCGCTGCTCTGCGCAGCCGCAGGTGGGGGGGGGGGGGTGGGTATGGGGGGGCCCGAGTCTGAGTCCTGTTTGGGGTCTTGGGCTGGGGGGTGTTGGGGGTGTTGGGGGGTGTTGGGGTGTTGGGGTGTTGGGGGTGTTGGGGGTATTGGGGGTATTGGGGTATTGGGGGTATTGGGGGTGTTGGGGGGTATTGGGGGTGTTGGGGTGTTGGGGGTGTTGGGGGTGTTGGGGTGTTGGGGGGTATTGGGGTATTGGGGGTGTTGGGGTGTTGGGGGTGTTGGGGGTGTTGGGGGGTATTGGGGATGTTGGGGGTGTTGGGGGGTATTGGGGTATTGGGGGTATTGGGGTATTGGGGGTATTGGGGGTGTTGGGGGTGTTGGGGGTGTTGGGGTGTTGGGGGTGTTGGGGGGTATTGGGGTATTGGGGGTGTTGGGGTGTTGGGGGTGTTGGGGGTGTTGGGGGGTATTGGGGATATTGGGGGTATTGGGGGGTATTGGGGTATTGGGGGTATTGGGGGTATTGGGGGGTATTGGGGGTATTGGGGGTATTGGGGGTATTGGGGGGTATTGGGGGTATTGGGGGTGTTCGGGGTGTGGGGGGGTATTGGGGGTGTTGGGAGTGTTGGGGTGTTGGGGTATTGGGGTGTTGGGGGTGTTGGGGGTATTGGGGGTGTTGGGGTATTGGGGGTGTTGGGGGTATTGGGGTGTTGGGGGTGTTGGGGGTGTTGGGGTGTTGGGGGGTATGGGGGGTGTTGGGGTGTTGGGGGGTATGGGGGGTGTTGGGGTGTTGGGGGGTATGGGGGGTGTTGGGGTGTTGGGGGGTATGGGGGGTGTTGGGGTGTTGGGGGGTATGGGGGGTGTTGGAGGTGTTGGGGGTATTGGGGGTATTGGGGTATTGGGGGTGTTGGGGGTGTTGGGGGTGTTTGGGGGTATTGGGGGTGTTGGGGGGTGTTGGGGGTGTTGGGGGTTTTGGGGGGTATTGGGGTATTGGGGGTGTTGGGGGTTATTGGGGGTGTTGGGAGGATTGGGGATATTGGGGGTGTTCGGAGGGTGTTGGGGGTGCTGGGGGTCCCGGTGTGGGTCTGACGGTGGCCGCAGGGTTTGGGGTGGTCTATGGGGTGCCCCCCCCAACCCGGTGCCAGACCGGGGACACGGAGCTGAGCTGCCACGACTGGGACCCCCCCGGCACGGTGAGAACCAGGAGCACCCACAGCACCCAAACAGCACCCAAATAGCACCCACAGCACCCAAACAGCACCCAAATAGCACCCACAGCACCCACACAGCACCCAAACAGTGCCCAAACAGCACCCAAACAGCACCCAAACAGCACCCAAATAGCACCCACAGCACCCAAACAGCACCCAAATAGCACCCACAGCACCCAAACAGCACCCAAATAGCACCCACAGCACCCAAACAGCACCCAAACAGCACCCACAGCACCCACACAGCACCCAAACAGTGCCCAAACAGCACCCAAACAGCACCCAAACAGCACCCAAATAGCACCCACAGCACCCAAACAGCACCCACAGCACCCAAATAGCACCCAAACAGCGCCCACAGCACCCAAACAGCACCCAAACAGCACCCACGAGCACCTAGCACAGCACCTGTGTCCCCACGGATTCCCAGGTCCCCATGAACCCATGATCCCCATGACCCCCCTGTGTCCCCCACAGCCCCTGCCCCATGTCCCCAAGCATGGCCCCACACACCATTCTGTCCCCACCTACCCCATATCTCCATGTCCCCGCTCCATGGTCCCACATCCCTGTGTCCCCTATCCCATGTCCCCATATCCCCGCTCCATGGTCCCATATCCCATGTCCCCTATCCCATGTCCCCATGTCCCCATATCCCATATCTCCATGTCCCCATATCCCATATCTCCATGTCCCCTCTCCATGTCCCCTATCCCATGTCCCCACATCCCAACTCCATGTCCCCATGTCCCACGTCCCCTCTCCGTACCCCCCATCCCCATTCCATGTCCCCCGTCCCACGCGCCCCCATCCCGCTCTCCCCACAGGACATGTGTGCCAGCTGCCAGCAGGTCATCGCCCTCCTCATCCGCATGGCCAACGAGTCGGCCACCAAGGTGCCCATGGGGACACGGGGGGGCCATAAGGGTGCCACGGTGCCCATGGTGGTGCCGTGGTGCCCATGGTGGTGCCCATGGCAGTGACCATAGGGGTCCCCATGGTGGTGTCGCAGTGCCCATGGTGGTTCCCATAGTGGTGCCGTGGTGCCCATGGCGGTGCCCATAGGGGTCCCCATGGTGGTGTCGCAGTGCCCATGGTGGTGCCCATGATGGTGTCACAGTGCTCGTAGCGGTGCCCATGGTGGTGCCATGGTGCCCATGGTGTTGTCCATGGTAGCATCACAGTGCCCATGGCAGTGCCATGGTGCCCGTGGTGGTGTGATGGTGCCCACAGCAATGCCCATGGTGGTGCCACAGTGCCCATGACGATGCCCATGGTGGTGTCACGGTGCCCATAGCGGTGCCCATAGTGGTGCCACAGTGCCCATAGTGGTGTCATGGTGCCCATGGTGTTGCCCATGGTAGAGTCACAATGCCCATGGCAGTGCCATGGTGCCCGTGGTGGTGTGATTGTGATGGTGCCCACAGCAGTGCCCATGGTGGTGCCACGGTGCCCATGGCGGTGTCACAGTGCCCATGGCAGTGTCACGGTGCCCATGGCAGTGCCACGGTGCCCATGGCGGTGTCACGGTGCTCATGGCGGTGTCACGGTGCCCATGGCGGTGTCACAGTGCCCATGGCAGTGTCACGGTGCCCATGGTGGTGCCACGGTGCCCATGGCAGTGTCACGGTGCTCATGGCGGTGTCACGGTGCCCATGGTGGTGTCATGGTGCCCATGGCGGTGTCACAGTGCTCATGGCAGTGTCACGGTGCCCATGGCGGTGCCCATGGCGGTGTCACGGTGCCCATGGCGATGTCACGGTGCCCATGGCGGTGTCACGGTGCCCATGGCGATGTCACGGTGCTCATGGCGGTGTCACGGTGCCCATGGCGGTGCCCATGGCGGTGTCACGGTGCCCATGGCGATGTCACGGTGCCCATGGCGTTGTCACGGTGCCCATGGCGATGTCACGGTGCCCATGGCGATGTCACGGTGCTCATGGCGGTGCCCATGGCGGTGACGCTCCGGTGTCGTGGCACAGGCTGCGGTGGAGGGGTTCCTGTGGCACGAGTGCGCGGCGCTGCCGGTACCCGCCATGGTGCCGCCGTGCCAGGAGCTGGTGCACCAGTACTGGAGCCTGCTCCTCACCGACATCGAGGGGCGCCTCGTGAGTGCCACCCATGGGTGCTGCGGGGCAATGGGGACACCTCGGGGTGCGGGGGCTCACTCTGTGCCCCCCCCCCCCCAGAAGCCCTCGGCCGTGTGCGCCCGCCTGGAGCTGTGCCCGGGGCAGGCGGGGGGGGGCCCGGCCCTGGCCCTGCTGGAGCCGCTGCAGAACCGCCCGCAGGTACCGGGGTGGTGTCGGGGGGGTCCGGTGGTACCGGGGGTGTCACGGGGGTGCCGGTGGGTGCTGGTGGGTGCTGGTGGGTGGATGGGTGCTGATGGGTGGGTGCGGGTGTGTGGGTACCGGTGGGTGCTGATGGGTGCCGATGGGTGGTGCAGGTGAGTGGGTACTGGTGGGTGCAGGTGGATGGGTGCCAATGGGTGGGTGCAGGTGGATGGGTGCTGATGGGCGGGTGGGGGTAGATGGGTGCTGATGGGTAGGTGTGGGTGTGTGGGTACTGGTGGGTGCAGGTGTGTGAGTACTGGTGGGAGCGGGTGTGTGGGTACCAGAGGGTGCAGGTGGATGGGTGCTGATGGGTGGGTGCAGATGTGTGGGTACCGATGGGTGCGGGTGGATGGGTGCTGATGGGTGGGTGCAGGTGTGTGGGTACCGGTGGGTGCTGATGGGTGCCGATGGGTGGTGCAGGTGAGTGGGTACTGGTGGGTGCAGGTGGATGGGTGCCAATGGGTGGGTGCAGGTGGGTGGTACCGGTGGGTGCAGGTGGATGGGTGCCAATGGGTGGGTGCAGGTGGATGGGTGCTGATGGGTAGGTGTGGGTGTGTGGGTACCAGTGGGTGCAGGTGGATGGGTGCCGATGGGTGGGTGCAGGTGTGTGGGTACTGATGGGTGCGGGTGTGTGGGTGCCGATGGGTGGGTGCGGGTGCGTGGGTACTGGTGGGTGCGGGTGTGTGGGTGCCGATGGGTGGGTGCGGGTGCGTGGGTACTGGTGGGTGCAGGTGTGTGAGTACTGGTGGGAGCGGGTGTGTGGGTACCGGAGGGTGCAGGTGGATGGGTGCTGATGGGTGGGTGCAGGTGTGTGGGTACCAGTGGGTGCAGGTGGGTACCGGTGGGTGCAGGTGTGGGGGTACTGGTGGGAGCAGGTGTGTGGGTACCGGTGGGTGCAGGTGGATGGGTGGTGATGGGTGGGTGCGGGTGTGTGGTACCGGTGGGTGCCGATGGGTGGGTGCGGGTGGATGGGTGCTGACGGGTGGGCGCGGGTGAGTGGGTACTGGTGGGAGTGGGTGTGTGGGTACCGGAGGGTGCAGGTGGATGGGTGCTGATGGGTGCCGATGAGTGGGTACCGGTGGGTGCAGGTGGATGGGTGGTGATGGGTGGGTGCGGGTGTGTGGGTACCCATGGGTGCCGATGGGTGGGTGCCGATGGGTGCTGGTGTGTGGGTGCTGATGGGTGGGTGCGGGTGGATGAGTGCTGATGGGTGGGTGTGGGTGTGTGGGTGCTGATGGGTGGGTGCGGGTGGATGGGTGCTGATGGGTGGGTGCCGATGGGTGCTGGTGTGTGGGTGCCAATGGGTGGGTGCAGGTGGGTGGGTGCTGATGGGTGGGTGCGGGTGTGTGGGTGCCGATGGGTGCCGATGGGTGGGTGTGGGTGGATGGGTGTTGACGGGTGGGCGCTTGTGTGTGGGTGCCGGTGGGTACTGATGGGTGGGTGCGGGTGGGTGCAGGTGGGTGGGTGCTGACAGGTGGGTGCGGGTGGATGGGTGCTGACGGGTGGGTGCTGGTGTGTGGGTGTGGGTGGGTGCTGACGGGTGGGTGCAGGTGGATGGGTGCCGATGGGTGCCAATGGGTGGGTGCAGGTGGATGGGTGCCAACGGGTGGGTGCGGGTGGGTGGTTGCTGACGGGTGGGTGCTGACGGTTGGGCGCGGGTGCTCCGGCAGGGGGCGCTGCCGGTGCCGCGGTGCTGGCTCTGCCGCTCGCTGGTGGCGCGCCTGGAGGCGGCGGTGCCGCGGGCGCGCGTGGCCGAGGCCGTGTCCGCGCTGTGCCGCGCGCTCCCGCTGGCGGCGGCGGGCGCGTGCCAGTGCCTCGCGCAGCGCTACGCGGCCCTCGCGCTGGAGCGCGCCCTCGCGCGCATGGGGCCCGCGCTGCTCTGCCGCGCGCTGCTCGGCTGCCGCCAGGAGGCGCCGACCCCGCGGGAAACGCGCGCCCCCGTGGCGGGAAGAGACGCGGTGAGCGCGGGAACGCGCGCGCGGGGAGCACGGGGACACCCCGGGGGGGGGGGGGGTGCACCCATGGGGACGGGCCTGACCCCCGTGTCCGCTCCCCCCCCCCCCACCTCCAGCAGGACCTGGTCCCGGTCCCCCCCCTCCTGGAGCTGTCCCCGAAGCCGGGTCCCTGTGTCCTGGGCCCCACTTATTGGTGCTCCAGCCCCACGGCCGCGCAGCGCTGCCAGGTGAGGGGGGGGGGGGGCAAAGGGACGGGGAGGGGAGGGAGTGGGGGGGGTTCTGTGCCCCCCATCACCCCCCTGCTCCCCCCAGGCCCTGCAGCACTGCCAGGAGCACGTCTGGCTCTAGGGGACCCCCGGAGCCCCCCCGGCACCGCAATAAAGCTTCCGCATCGCCCGGCCTCAGTGTCCCCCACGTGTGGGTCTTTGGGGTGACAACGGGGGGCGAGGGCACCTCCCAGAAGCTGCATAAACCACAACCACCCCCCAACCCCCCCAAGCAACCCCAATGAAGAGAAGATGGAAACTGGTTACAAAAATACAGTGGGAGGCATTTAATGGGGGGGGGGGGGAGTCCCCAAGGGGGGTTCTGGATGACCCCAAGGGGGGTTTCTGGGTGTCCCCAGGGGGGTTCTGGGTATCCCAAAGGGGGGGTTCTGGATGACCCCAAAGGGGGTTTTTGGTTTGTCCCCAGGGGGGTTCTGGGTATCCCAAAGGGGGGGTTCTGGATGACCCCAAGGGGGGGTTCTGGGTGTCCCCAGGGGGGTTCTGGGTATCCCAAAGGGGGGGTTCTGGATGACCCCAAGGCGGGGTTCTGAGTGTCCCCAGGTGGTCTTCCTCTGGGTGTCCATAGGGGGCTCAGGCTCCCTGTTGGTTGGTCTCATCCTCCTCGCGCCGCTTCCAGATCTGCAGCAGAGCAGAGGGGGATCAGGTGGGGACGAGGGCTCAGTCAGGGGGTGACACGGCCCCCCAGGACCCCCCCACCCCATAATGGTCCCACCTGGATGTAGGCTTCCGAGAGCGTGATCATCTGGGGCAGGATGTCGGTGACCTGCAGGTCCTGCAGCTCGTACCACTTCCCGGTGCCCTGCATTGGGGGGCACAAACAGGGGGGGTCAGTGGGTGCTAGGGGGCAGTGTCCCGTGTCCCCCCCCGCCCCGGTGGGCACTGACGTGGTGCAGGACGTGGATGCGGTAGGAGCCCTCCGTGGGCTTCCCGTCGTGCACGATGTTGGCGACCAGGTCGTAGGTGGTGTTGGGGTGCGCAGACTGCACCTCCTCCGACAGGTACTCGCGCAGGTCCACGTTCCTGCCCCCGCGCCCCGTCAGTGCCCGCGGCGCCCAGAGGGCACCCAGGGCACCCACAGCGCCCACAACACACACAGCACCCAGAGCACCCGCAGCACTCACAGCACCCACAACACACACAGCACCCAGAGCACCCGCACAGCACCCAGAGCACCCGCACAGCACCCAGAGCACCCGCACAGCGCCCAGAGCACCCGCACAGCGCCCAGGGCACCCACACAGCACCCAGAGCACCCACAGCACCCAGAGCACCCGCACAGCGCCCACAGTGTGCACACAGCACCCAGAGTACCCGCACAGCACCCCCAGTGTGCACACAGCACCCATAGCGCACACAGCGCCCAGAGCGCCCGCTCAGCGCCCAGAGCACCCGCACAGCACCCGTAGTGCGCACACAGCACCCAGAGTACCCGCACAGCACCCCCAGTGTGCACACAGCACCCATAGCGCACACAGCGCCCAGAGCGCCCGCTCAGCGCCCAGAGCACCCGCACAGCACCCGTAGTGCGCACACAGCACCCAGAGTACCCGCACAGCACCCCCAGTGTGCACACAGCACCCATAGCGCACACAGCGCCCAGAGCACCCGCACAGCGCCCAGAGCCCACAGTGCGCACACAGCACCCAGAGCACCCACACAGCGCCCAGAGTGCCCGCACAGCGCCCATAGCGCACCCACAACACACACAGCACCCGCACAGCAGCCAGAGCACCCGCACAGTGCCCATAGCGCACCCAGAGCACCCACACAGCACCCACCGCACACTTTAGATGCTCCCAAGCCCCCTTTAGCTGCTCCCACCCCCCTTGAGATGCTCCCAACCCCACTTAGCCACTCCCAAGCCCCCTTTAGATGCTCCCAAACCCCCTTCAGACACTCCCAAACCCTTTTAGATGCTCCCAAGCCCCTTTAGATGCTCCCAAGCCCCTTTAGATGCTCCCAAACCCTTTTAGATGCTCCCAAACCCCCTTCAGATGCTCCCAAACCCCCTTTAGCCCCTCCCAAACCCCCTTTAGATGCTCCCAAGCCCCCTTTAGATGCTCCCAAGCCCCCTTTAGATGCTCCCAAACCCCCTTTAGACGCCCCAAACCCCCTATAGATGCTCCCAAACCCCCTTTAGCCCCTCCCAAGCCCCCTTCAGATGTTCCCAAGCCCCCTTCAGATGCTCCCAAAACCCTTCAGATGCTCCCAAACCCCTTCAGATGCTCCCAAACCCCCTTCAGACTCTCCCAACCCCCTATAGATGCTCCCAAACCCCCTTTAGACGCTCCAAACCCCCTATAGATGCTCCCAAGCCCCCTTTAGATGCTCCCAAGCCCCCTTCAGATGCTCCCAAACCCCCTTCAGACTCTCCCAACCCCACTTTAGCCCCTCCCAAGCCCCCCTTTAGGCCGCTGCCAAGCCCCCCGGCCTCACGTGATGGGGAAGTTGACGATGGTGGGGTTCTTCTCCACGAAGAAGTTGTTCTTGGTGAAGCGCTTGATGCAGAAGATGAGGTAGGGGGGCAGGCGCGTGAGCTGGAAGCGCTTCAGGAAGTTCTCCTTGTAGGTCTTGTACTCCTTCTCGGTGGCGCCGTTGAACTTGGCCAGGATGCTGAAGAGGGGCACCTGGGGGATGATGAGCTGCTCCTTCTCGTCCTTGTAGAGCGGCGCCGTGGGCAGGTCCAGGGTCAGGTACATGAACGTGGACTCCACCATCAGCTCCTGGTACTCGGCTTTGTGCAGCAGCGCCGCCTTCTCCTCGGCCGGCTGCGGGGTCAGCACCCAGCGTGGGGTCAGTACCCACCATGGGGTCAGCACCCACAATGGGAGAGCACCCACCACGGGGTCAGTACCCACAATGGGAGAGCACCCACCATGGGGTCAGCAGCCAGCGTGGGAGAGCACCCACCAGAGGGTCAGCACCCGGCATGGGGTCAGCACCCACCATGGGAGAGCACCCACAATGGGGTCAGCACCCACCACGGGGTCAGTACCCACAATGGGAGAGCACCCACCATGGGGTCAGCACCCAGTGTGGGAGAGCACCCACCAGAGGGTCAGCACCTGGCGTGGGGTCAGCACCCGCCACGGGGTCAGCACCCGCCACGGGGTCAGCACCCGCCATGGGGTCAGCACCCACCATGGGAGAGCACCCAACATGGGAGAGCACCCAACATGGGAGAGCACCCACCATGGGAGAGCACCCAGCACAGGGTCAGCACCTGCCATGGGAGAGCACCCACCGTGGGGTCAGCACCCGCCATTGGAGAGCACCCACTGTGGGGTCAGCACCCAGCACAGGAGAGCACCCACCACAGGGTCAGCACCCGCCATGGGAGAGCACCCACCAGGGGGTCAGCACCCAGTGTGGGGTCAGCACCTGGCATGGGAGAGCACCCACCCTGGGGTCAGCACCCACCACAGGAGAGCACCCACCATGGGGTCAGCACCCACCATGGGGTCAGCACCCACCATGGGAGAGCACCCACCATGGGAGAGCACCCACCATGGGGTCAGTACCCACCATGGGAGAGCACCCACCATGGGGTCAGTACCCACCATGGGAGAGCACCCACCATGGGGTCAGCACCCACCGTGGGGTCGGCACCCACCATTGGAGAGCACCCGCCGTGGGGCCAGCACCCACCATTGGAGAGCACCCACCACGGGGTCAGCACCCGCCATTGGAGAGCACCCACCATGGGGTCAGCACCCACCATTGGAGAGCACCCACCACGGGGTCAGCACCCGCCATTGGAGAGCACCCACCATGGGGTCAGCACCCACCATTGGAGAGCACCCACCATGGGGTCAGCACCCACCATTGGAGAGCACCCACCATGGGGTCAGCACCCACCATTGGAGAGCACCCACCATGGGGTCAGCACCCACCACGGGAGAGCGCCCATCGTGGGGTCAGCACCCGCCGTGGGGTCAGCACCCACCCTTGGAGAACACCCGGTGTGGGGTCAGCACCCACTACGGGGTCAGCCCCCCCCTGAGCCCCCCATGGCCTCACCAGGTCCGGGTGAGGCAGCTTCTTGGTGAAGATGCGCATGGAGCCCTGGAACACGTCGGTGACGATGGCTGCGGGGACACGGGGGGATGTGGGGACATGAAGGGGACACAGGGGTCCTGAGGGGGCCCAAGGGACCCCATTGCTCTCCACTCACTTTTCTTCTTCCTCTTGGTGCCACCCAGCGCCGAGTGCAGTGCGTTCAGGAACCAGGACAGGAAATCCACCCCATCCCCTGCGCCACCGGGGGATCAGGGTCCACAGCCCAGCACCCCAACCCCACCCCAGTGCCTCCAACCCCAGCCCCATGTCCCCAGCCCCAGCCCAACGCCCCTGACCCCATTCTGATGGCCCCATCCCAACATCCTCATCCCCATCCCAACGTCCCCATCCCAACATCCCCAACCCAACGCCCCCAGCCCCATTCTGATGCCCCCATCCCAACATCCTCATCCCCATCCCAACGTCCCCATCCCAACATCCCCAACCCAACACCCCCAGCCCCATTCTGATGCCCCCATCCCAACATCCTCATCCCCATCCCAGGGTCCCCAACTCCACCCCACCGCCCCCACCCCACCATCCCCAAATCAACACCCTCCAATCCCATCCCAACATCCCCATCCCAGCATCCTCAACCCCATCCCAGTGTCCCCAACACCACCCTAACACCCCCATCCCAACATCCCCAAATCAACACCCCCAACCCCATCCCGACATCCCCATCCCAGGATCCTCAACCCCATCCCAAGGTCCCCAACCCCATCCCAAGGTCCCCAACCCCATCCCAAGGTCCCCAACCCCATCCCAAGGTCCCCATCCCAGGATCTTCAACCCCATCCCAATGTCCCCAACACCATCCCAAGGTCCCCATCCCAGGATCTTCAACCCATCCCAAAGTACCCAGCCCAACATCCCCAACCCCATTTCAACATCCCCAACCCAACGCCCCCAGCTCCATTCTGATGCCCCCATCCCAACATCCTCATCCCGATCCCAGTACCCCCAACTCCATCCCAACACCCCAAAATCAACACCCCCAACCCCATCCCAACATCCCCATCCCAGGATCCCCAACCCCATCCCAAGGTCC